CACTTGAATAACAAAGTCATATTATGTAATTCAATATTTCCTATAGAATAACAAAGTCATATTTAGTTCAAAATATCATATGGAATAACAAAGTCATATTATGTAATTCAATATGTCCTATGGAATAACAAAGTCATATTTAGTTCAAAATATCATATGGAATAACAAAGTCATATTATGTAATTCACTATTTTCTATGGAATAACAAAGTCATATTCAGTTCAATATTTCCTCTGGAATAACAAAGTCATGTAATCTAACATGTCATATAGAATAACAAAGTCGTATTTAGTTCAAAACATTATATGGAATAACAAAGTCATATGTAATTTAATATGGAATAACAAAGTCATACTTAGTTTTTTTTTGTTTTGTTTTTTGTTTTTTTTTTTTTTAAATCATATGGAATAACAAAATCATATTATGTAATTCAATATTTCCTATGGAATAACAAAGTCATATTCAGTTCAATATTTCCTCTGGAATAACAAAGTCATATTATGTAATTCAATATTTTATATGGAATAACAAAGTAATATTCAGTTCAATATTTCCTATAGAATAACAAAGTCATATTATGTAATTCAATATTTCCTCTGGAATAACAAAGTCATACTCAGTTCAATATTTCCTCTGGAATAACAAAGTCATATTATGTAATTCAATATTTCCTCTGGAATAACAAAGTCATATTATGTAATTCAATATTTTCTATGGAATAACAAAGTCATACTCAGTTCAATATTTCCTCTGGAATAACAAAGTCATATTATGTAATTCAATATTTTCTATGGAATAACAAAGTCATATTCAGTTCAATATTTCCTCTGGAATAACAAAGTCATATTATGTAATTCAATATTTTCTCTGGAATAACAAAGTCATGTGTAATTTAATATGTCCTCTAGAATAACAAAGTCATATTCAGTTCAAAATATATGGAATAACAAAGTCATATGCAATTCAATATGTCCTATGGAATAACAAAGTCATATGTAATTTAATATGTCCTATGGAATAACAAAGTCATATGTAATTCAATATGTCCTATGGAATAACAAAGTCATATGTAATTTAATATGTCCTATGGAATAACAAAGTCATAGTTAGTTGACAAGATGTGTTGTACATCAATTTTTTTCTAAATATTCAAATTTTATGTCTGATGGAGACACTCTTAGCATCAACTGTCACCATTTTCATGTGTTTCTTTCTTAAAACTAAGCATTATATAGAATCACTATTGCAATTAGCCCTTATTAGTATTAGCTTTCGTGATAAAAATGCATAGAAAACCTTCTTTAA